TGCAATTTTCCTCTCTCTTGGTTTTTAATTCCTTTCGCAATTTAATGTTCTACGATCTTTTTATCTTAGAAAGTACTTTTCTTTTATAAGGTTTCGGTTTTAGAATTTTTTTTTATTGCTGATGTCAATAATATTTATAAGACGTGCTACAATTTTCAAACTCTTTGTTTTTGAATTCATTTCGCAATTTTTGGTGCTCTTCTACCATCTTTTTATTTTAGGCAAAACCTTTCTTTAGTTCAGTTTCGGTTTTAGGAGTTTTTTTTATTACTGATGTCAATTATATCTATATGACGTGCTGCAATTTTTATTCTCTTTGTTTTTGAATTAATTTCGCCATTTTCAATGCTCTTCCTGCCATCTTTTTATCTTAAGCAGTACCTTTCTTTTGTCCGGTTTCGGTTTTAGAAGTTTTCCATCGTCAGAAACTTCACATGTGTGGCTATCCTTGGCATCTCAGGTAAGAAAGATTCGATTCTCATCATAGTGGTCTCAACCAAAATTATCAGATGCAAAGTCTTTGCACCAGTCGACCTCCACAAATCAAACTTGACCGACTTGTTAACACTATCGTTGGATTTTCTCTTTCGATGCACAAGGGAGACTCACTGTTCACAGCCTGAGTAATGCTTTACTCAGGTAGAATTACACCATCTGTGCTTCATCATCAACAACTTACAGTTAGCTCCACCACCACTGGAAGATACGACCTCGGTCAATTACCCTGCCTCACCACAAGGTCGCAACCAGACCACCTCCACCAACACTGCCGGATTAGCTGCGTCTACCAATACAGCCAACTGAAGACGGCCTCAGCCAGCACAAAGAGCGAGACCACTTCATCCTGAGCACTCAACCGGGCCACTCTTTCGGCACAACTAACTGTGCTTTCTCGACCAAAGCAGCCAAATGGAGGGCATCTCCGCTACTTCCGGTAGCACAACCAACTTCATTACAGAATCACAGCTGTGATCACGTACTGCTTCAGACGACCTCTTTCTTCCCTAAAACTGCTTCTTATCAACAAATTACGACTGATAACTCTCCCTAACGTCTACCTAAAATGAAAGTTTCTCTAGTCAACAGTTCGAGCCACTGAGGATAAATGTAAAAGGTGACTGGAAAGAAACGAAAAGGAAAAAAAAGAGTTCATGAACTAAATTTTCTTCGCGGAAGGTTCGAGTTATTGTCAACTGTATTCTACGTTTTAAGTGACTGCGTCTATAAATTTTATTTCTTTCTTGGGCTCTTCCCTTCTTCATTCACAGCTTAGAGTGTGGAGTATACGACTTGTTTCACGGAGTTCATTTGCTTGTTTACTTCGCATCAAAGCCTCATAGAATTACTTGCTTCATCCTTGTCATAAATGAAGCAAACCGAACCGAAAGTCGAGTTATTTTATCTCGTTTGCGACAATGACCGCTAATCATCCCTTGCATTGTACCAAATGCCTTTGGCATATCAGCACTGAAAAGGTTGGTAGGTACGTATCGGCCAGTTGGTCCGACAGTATACTTAAGTACTCCGTGGATTATTCTAGATGGTATGTCTTAACCGCTGGCGTGTAAACCTAATGTCTTCTGCAATATGCTGTCACATCTCTGCAGTGCTCTTTTTAAGCTAAGTCACGCTTATTGAAGTTCTTGTTGTGCAGCTTTTGCCAGCCTATAAATGTAAATGTATTTCTCCAAAGGAAATGCCAGCCCAATGCCAGATAGGTGTGAGTTTTCAGATCTCTTTCGGTTTCTAATTTTTTGTTTCTGTCATGGAGCTAATTGTGGGTGCATGCCAATAGATGCTGAGATTTCCTCTATCCCGCACATGAATGGTGAGTCAAACGATCTTTGTTCCACTTTTTCCTTGATGCTGTGGGAAGAGCCCTCATAGAGTGCTTGTGGTCGATAGTGATGATTACTTCCTTGATAAAGCTATTTTCCCTCTCTTGAAGTTGTGGTCCAGCCAAACTCCTTTCAACCAACGTTCACCAGGCGCTGAAATGGTTGCTCATTGGTGCGCCATAACTCCAGTATCATTTCCAAAGAGGCAATTGTCAACTATAAGCAATGCTTATTACTTTAACTGTGCTGTTGATCTTGTAAGAGTACCTATTCGTTCATGTTCCAAAGGGAGAAGCTGACAAAAGCTTCGTACAGCACAGTCTGAGCTCTCTTTTCAATTCTTTAATGATGAGTAAGACAGTAATTTTGTTAGGGACTCTAAGAGTCCTATTTCTTTATGTCCATCCCCCTAACTTCCCCCTTGGACGATTTAAGAGGTTCTTTATCGTCCTGAATGGAATGCAAAGGATTGCACTCTGTGGGGAAATTTTACCGTTCTCAGTGGCCGTCTTGACATTTAAGGCTGGACGTTCAGTCTTTTGATATTTACCATTCTTCAGTCTAATCTGGCGTGCAATTACAACCTAAGAGGGTTATTTTACTACCCTGTTTGTTTTCTCTGCGGATTTTATGACTCTCAGAGTTGCTGCCGTCATACGGAGTAAATAACTTCATTCTGCTACCTAATGGAACTGATGAAGTTGAGGGAGAATGAGCTAGTGGGAACCGATTTTCTGGAGGATCTTCAAGAGTTCGTACGCATTCTCTATACGGAATTGAATGGTAGCATCAGCGGAGGTAAACTGAGTTATTCGTTGTTTTCTGAAACTCTACTTCCTGCTTTAGCTTTTCCCGTTGCAAGTACTCCTTTCCTCCTTCGTCGGTAAAGGAACTCTTCGGTCAGTACCAAGGAAAAGTTGATTAAAGCTTCGTACAGCTCAGTTTTGGTTCTGTATTCAGCTCACCAATAATGGATGAGACGATGATATTTGAGTGGCTTTGAAAAACGTTTTCTTATCTCTCCATCACTATAACCTCCCCACTGAACTGTTTAAGAGACTCGTAGTGGTTCTCGTGGGCATGCAGAGGGTTATTCTCTGCACTGCACCACCCTCTTTTAAAGCGGCCGTCTCCTTGACCTTAGCCTTCTCCTTGACTGTGTTGGCCGAGGCAGCCAATTCGGTCGTGTTAGTCGAGGTAGTCTGGTCAAATGACCAATTGGGCGGGAAAGGCAGAATAATGGTTGAGGCCGATGGTTGTGGTGGTCCAGCTAACTGCTGCCACCTTTAGAATGGTGAATTGGGAACAGTGACTCCTGTGCATGTGATTGAGAGGTACCATCATGCATCGTGTTTTTTCTTTCAGTCTGGTTGGGTTGATTTGTGGTGGTCGCCCAGTGCATTGACATGCAGCTGATTCTGTTGGATGTGGTCACCATGTGGTGCATCAAGTCCTTCTTCTTTGAGAAAGTCAATATTTGGCCACATATTTGATAGGTTCTGGTCCTAGAATCTTCTGAAAACGAAACCGAGCTGAATTTCATTTATTTTGCAAGTGTTTATTTGAATGTCTATAATAATTTTTTTTATTGGATTTATACTCACAACCTTCGTTTAATAAGTTTTCAAACTGATCTGTTCTGAATTATTGCAGCACGTTATGGTTATCATTTAGTATTATTTCCATATGTATAGTTTTTTTTCTCTTTTTTAAATTGTTATTCCCTTGTCAGCTTCTACTCTCGTTTCATTCAAATGTCATATTGCTTTTTATCCAAAAATTTCTTAAACTGTGCTGAATTTCATTCATTTTGCAAGTGTTTTTTTTAATGTTTGATTTTAATTTCTCTTTCTCAGATTTATACTGACAACCTTTTTTAAAATAAGCTTTCAAACCTTATCTGTCTTGAATTATTTAAGTACGCCACGGTTATTATATTAGGATTATTTTCGTCTATATTCTTTTCTAAAGTAACTCATAATGTAACTCTTTTTATCTTGTTTAATTTAAATGTAAGATTTTCTTAATAATTAGCCAAATTTATACTGAATTCTTTGCTACTCATTTCATTTTTATTCCAAAAACTTTGTATTATTGTAGCACGTCACTCAAAATTTTTTTCACAATAATATTTCAATTGTAGTACTCTGCCCTTATAAGTCTAAAAAAACTTTGTATTCTCAAGAATGAATTTGCGCAGCACATCCTTGTCACAATTTTAAAATTATTTTCCATTTTAATTAAATTATTATTTTAAAATAAATTTGATGTAGCACTGTTTTTCAATTTATTGCTCTTTTTTCCGGCTTTATGATGAAAACTTTCTTGAAGTGCACGAGAAAACCAGGCGGAATCGGATGGATTGATCACGTCAAATCTATATCAATATGGGTTCCCTTTAGGAAAATACCCATTTCCTGAAGTTTTTGCACAATGAAAGACAAGTTACTGTGACTGACATGAGTGCCATCTCTAAATTCAATCCACTGGGTTATATTCTATATCTATCAGACTTCAGGAGCATTGAACTGTTTTAACTTGTCCATTTCATTTCTTCCCTATCCTCGCCCTTAAGTAGAGGGAACTTAACCTGGTTTTGAAATCAAACCGTTGCAGACGGGAATAATAAAAAACCTACACGACGCACTCTTTCTACTTTATCAAGAATACGATCATTGTTGTCTCGCCAGCTGCTCTGCATCTTAGGAGACAGTCTTTCTATAACATTTCTTACGTTGTCGGGGCTTTAAATCTTGTTGAGATACCCGGTAGTTTTGAGGAAGTTGGTGCAATCGAACAGGAGAATTGAAACACCTACAGATTCAGCATCCTTCTGGGTTTAGGTACAAACAGCTACGCACAATCTGCTGAGCTCTTCCCTTGTGTGTTGCTTTAACGAATACAGTCTACCTACACTTTCATATTTATTTCCTTCGATAACAGTCTCGAAGTTATGCGCGAAAAATAAAATAAACTGGGGCGGATCAAATTATGTTCGGAGCTCTGGGAGATCTCCTCAGGAAGATTGGCCTCGCGCGGAGCGGATAAGAGAGCGTCGACGCAACGCTACGAGCAAAGGCTTATCCTACTCACTGTCATGGACACTCACTCAGCTTAAGTGTAAAGGACACCACGAAAAACTGTAAGTTGTTATCAGACACTATGGACACAGCAAAAGAAATCGTTTCCCACATAAAGTTTTCCCCAAAACGAGAAAATCTCCTGGGGGAAATAAAAGAAAACCTAGAAGGCCCTGAATCTGAAGCCAAGGGCATACTTGGCCTTTGCCCCACTAGATGGACAGTACGCGCAAGCTGTTTTCAGCGAATCCTAGACAATTATGCAGCTCTTCTTCAGGAGTGGACAATTTCCCTTGATGAGAAACTCCAGTCCGATATACGTGGAAGGATCATTGGATGCCAAGCGCAAATGAACACTTTTGACTTCTTTTTCGGGTTGAATTTAGGACAGCGGCTGTTTTCTCACACAGATAACTTATCAAGAACCTTACAGTAAACAAAGATGTCAGCTCTAAGTGGCAAACGAGTAGCTTGTCTTACAAAAGACGTTCTGCAGAAGATGCGAAACGATACGAGCTTCAGATCATTTTATGATGTAGTTTTACTGAAAAGTAAAAGCTGTCCCTCCATGAGTGGAACGATGTTACCAAGGAGAACTTGCGCGCCAAGAAGAGTTAAAATTGGCACTGGAGAGTGAAAGTTTGATATCAGTAGTATAACATAACAATCTATGATATTTCATTTTACTGATGGTGAATTTTCAGACCCGATAGCAACATCACTGGAGATGTGGAACAAAATCAATAGTTTTATCGTTATTTGCATTCTCTGTCACTTTTAGAGAAATTGAATAGAAATCCACAAGCATGCCCCCCCCCCCCCCAAAAAATTTTTCCTTCACGCATTCTTCTTTAGCCCCCCACTCGAAAACTTGCTGCGCGGTCCCTGAATGTGAATGAACAGCTTTCTGACCCTTTACTGCTTTTGATTTTTAAATTTCAGTTCCTTTTTCGGGAACGAAAGCAAATTGCTCTCATCTTCAATGAAATTTCAAACGAAGTCTTCTATCTCATTGCAAGTCAGGTTTGAAAATTAGGGTTTATCACTTAGCGAATGAATAACAATTATTTCATGAGCACGCGTGAACGTTTGGATATTGGAAGCCTTTTAGCAGCACCACAATAGTTGGCGGAACACATTTTAATTTAAGATGATTCGGAATATGAGCTGATAACGGACGCCGAGTGAAGGAATCAGACCACTGAATAAATACACACGATATCCCCCCAATTTTCGGTCGGGTGACACGTTTCCGCCATTTGATATATTAGAATGTGGAATATTCTTTTTCTCAGGTTATTATGCATAGTCGCGCATCTTTAATCCGCTGGGTATGGATTAAAAGTGCAGGAATCAATTTTTTTACGACGGAAGAAGTTACTCTTCCTTGTTTATTATTCCACCACCTCGCAGAGCATTTTTTTTAATAATGTCGACCTAGTTCTAATATTCGGCGATAGTTTTAGTAAGCAAAATTAACTATTGGCGGTTAAGTTAAACTGTAAGGACGTGAATGAAATAGACAGAGAAATTTATCACAGATATGTGTTTGCTTATAGGAAATATCACGGCTGCGACTCAGCACTTCTTAGTCTAACCGAACAATGGAAAAAAAGAAATTGATAACAATAAATTGATCGGTCTGGTCTCCATGGACTTGTCCAAGGCTTTCGACACCTTACCTCATGAACTGATTGTTTTGAAATTAAAAGAATATGGAGCAGATGAAGCAACAATCTTCCTGATAAAAGATTATTTATCAAATCGATTCCAAAAGGTGAGACTGGGGGATACGCTTTCCAATTGGCAACTTATATGCAATGGTGTACCACAGGGATCCATCCTCGGCCCTTTATTATTCAACATCTTCATGAACGATCTTTCATATGTCATCAAGAAGTGCACTCTGTCCACTTACGCTGATGACACTCAAATCTTTTTCGCCGACAATCAACTCTCCAAAGTTGAAGAAACAATCAATAATGATCTTATTAGTGCTGATATATGGTTTGCGCGTAATGGTATGAAGAGGAACAGTTCAAAATACCAGGCTATGGTGTTGGGAAAACACAAAGGAACTGATGAACCAGTGTTTAAGTGTGAGGAGTCACAACTTCCCATATCCAACACAACGGAACTTCTTGGTGTGACAATCGGTGATAAATTAAATTTTGAAAAGCACATTGCTAAAATATGTAGAAAAGTCAGTAAACAAGTCGCCGTATTAAAAAGGATACAGAAAATGTTGTCTTTTGAGACTAGAAGGGATCTTTATAAAGCTTTCATTTTACCACACTTTAATTACTGCTCTGAAACGTGGCACTTCTGTAATAAAAAGTCAGCTGACAAGTTAGAGTTGGTGGACAAACGTGCGCTCCGTTTTGTTTTAGAGATAAGTCCTCGCCTTATGACGAACTTTGTAAGCCTATCGGTCTCTCAAGTCTTCGTGAACAGCGATTAGCGAAAATATTGTCCACTGTCTTTAAGATATTAGCCAGTGATACAGGTCCAAAAAGCTTACGTGATCTTATAACAGTAAGGTGCTCCACTTATAACCTTAGGGGCACCACAATACTGGACCTCACAAAAGTAAAATCAATAACCTTCGGGTTAAGATCATGGAGATATGCTGCATCGAAATTATGGAACGCCTTACCGGACGAGTCTCGAAAGATACAAACATTTACTACTTTTAAAAATGACTTAAAAACATTAGATCTCACAGGACTCTAGTGCGGTGAGGATCTATCCTTGATTATATTTACTGTTTTTAATGATTACATTTTACACATTTTACTTGGTGACTACATTGTTAAATTCTTATATTTTAATATTAGCTAGTTCTTAATCTTAATTTATTTAAATTTATATACCTTCACAAGGCTGTATAATTTCCTTTTCTCTTTTTATTTCGTGGCGTACCTGTAAACTAGCTTTTAGCTAAGCGTTCTGACCACGTTAAATAAATTGATTGATTGAGCGCGAGTGTAAGCAGGGAAGGTCAAAAGGAAAATCCAGGCAACCTCTTACTTTCAAGTGTATTTGAGCATACGAATGACAAATAGAAGTCTTTGGTCTATTTTTCTCTTTTAATGTAATACTACACGTACACAGGAACAGCAACGAAGAAAAGAGCAAGATGAGCTCGAGGTATGGGTATAAACGATGATGGGAAACTCGATGACAACTTTTAAATTGGTGTTTAATCGAATTCATCTCATGATTTTATGTCTACGTAACACAAAACAGATCATCCGTGAAGCTACATTGATTTTCACATTGACCTAAATTCAAAATAAAGAAATAGTTTCTCTGAATCTTGTCACTGATATTTTCCTCAAAAAATGTGGTAGTTGGCGCGGAAGTTAGACTGATAATTAGTACACGTCAAATATGAATGGAATCCGTGTCGCTTTGGAAAATCTTACAAGCAGTTGTACCACTCAGTTCACTTTAACTAATCTACTCTGTTTGCATTTGTAACTCTGATTAAAGTTCACTTTATTTGACTCCAAATCACAGATTTTTTAACAAAAAGCTCGTCAGTCAAATACATGATTCATTCTCTTAAAGTGTGGATGAGCTGCTTAAAATCAAGCACAAGCTGATAAAAGAAAGGGTTGAAAAGCTGTCTGAAATTGCTCGTTTAAGAGTTTTGCTTTCATATTTTCCATTCAAATTTTCTTTCACTCTTTTACGTTCTTTGTGAATTTTCATGAGCCAGCAAATGTCTGTATTTAAAATTTCAACAAAAAAAACCGTCCTAAGACAGTAACTCTTCGCGTGCAGTTTAGTAACTTTGCAAAAACATCTACGTGGTCGTGTTTTAAAAACGTTTTAAAACAATACAATGTAGGACTCTGAACTTGCAAATCTGTGCAAAGCAAGTGCTACACCCTTTTGTAATTTTTTTGAAGAAACTGGCAAATATGGGGTCCCTTGAATATTGAAATTATTTATTAGTTTTTATTGATCGTACTCGGCACCGTGCTCGGGCACCAAGTGTGAATATAATCCAAAATGCATTATGATAATCGTATCAATAACAAAATTCTCTAATCTGATTAGTTCTCAGCAATAGTTATTTGTTTCTCAATTGAACTTCCATAATACTCAAATTGTCTAATTTGACCTGTCCGATTACAAGATGCTTGTAATCGGACAGGTCAAATCGGACAGTTTTAGGTAGCCAATGAAAAATGAGTAAAAATAACCATTATTCAATGAATAATTGTTCGCGAAAGACTTCCGGTGTAAGACATTTCCACTTCATGATCAATTTCTTTGCCTTCAGGATCATACAATTAATTTGCCTGGAGAGCTCAATATTATTTTTTTTTATATTGAAAACTCTCGTATTTTGTTATCGATTCGATTAATTGGTAATAGGATTTCGTGTCGTATTATCATTACAAATCGGCTTATTTTTGCAGAAATATTAAATTGTATTATTGCTTTTTGTTTGCAGAGAGGAAAACATCTTCATCTACCTCACCTGGCAAAGCAAAAGTTGAGGGCAAAAATGACGTAGTTGAGGCTAGAAAATTCATCTCCCAATGCCTTGCAACGATAATAGTTTTAGCCCAAGTTCAACTTGAACGCCACCCTAACATTTCTTATCCCATTCCCATGCTTTGGGTCAATCCTCGAGGAGTTATAGTTTTAGTTTATGATAGTCCTAATGATGTTTTAATGATAAGCCAACGAATAGAATGGGACTATATCGCGTTTGTGGCTGTTTGGTTTGTTCTACATTACTCTTTATTCTCCCCCGATGCTTTGAGTAACGCGGGAGATTATTGCTGTGGCTACAGTACTGCAGCTCTTGGCGCTTCATTAGACGACCCGTGGTACTTGGTGTCCCCAGCAGTTTACCTTCAACCACGAGACACGTATAAGCCTGATTGTTATACCTATGTAGATAGCAATTTAATGAAAAAGTGGTGTTTGATAATAGCAAAATCACGGAAAACTAACAAACGGTTGTTAAATTTCAAGAAGGGGAAGTGAACATGGCCCGCAAGGTATCTTGGGGATACATTATTCTAACTCCACTAACACTAGCATTCAAAGTGAAATAGTTCATTAAGGAGTGTGCAAGCTGACTGACACTCTTTGCTCCTCTTTCCTCAGCATAATAATATATCTGAAACAAAATACATATCTGAATATAATATTAATATATAATAATATATCAAACAAAATATATCTGCATTGTTAATCTTTTGCCCAAGACTGCCAGTAAGGATCGTGCTCGGCACCGTTTACGATGAATATGAGATGGTAATATTACAATATGAATATTAATACTAATAGTTTAGCAAAAAAATTGAATAAAATGAAGTTTTGTTCTTTGATGTGCTTTGAATGAACAGCTTGGATCCTTAACGTACGATCCAAGTGGATCACTTTAGAATCGTAATGAGCTCGCGTGTG